TCACCTAACTCCAAACCAAATTTCGATATCATAGTACTTCTTAACTAAAAGATATCGGCATTTTTAGAAGTCATGATTTTCGAAGAAAAAATTGAAATTAATTTTTATTTCGAAAACGGTAACAGATAGGTATAGGGAAATATCAAGAAAAGTTGTCGGGCAATTTTTGGAGATTCCAAAAATAATATTATATACAGAGTGTTCCATTTGAAAAATCAAAGTTGCTACTGCTTTCTAATAGAAGCGGCAACACCGCATTGTCGAAAATATTTTAGTTGGCTGGAGAATGTCCGAATATGCCCTTCATTAAATTTTCAAAGTAATCCGTTGTCTGGTTCACCAGAAACGTCTAATGTGCCATCCACCGTGAATCAGCCTGTATATGGCGGGTTATTCATCACATTCTAGTCGATATATACCAGATCTCTTCCTTTTGTCTAATTTAGGTTTGGAATTAAATAATATGTTTCCTAAATTTCCGTTGGATGCTATGGTTTTGTGGAAATTGTATATATTTCTTTCCTTACTGATTTTTGTTGATTTTTCATTATAATGTTGTTAACTAGAGTAATAGGTATTTTGTTATTAACCGCTATTTGTTTAATGATTACGATTTCACTTCGGAGGTTTTGATTAGAAAGGGGTATTGTGAAAGCCCTATGTATCATTGATTTTGTTATTGGTGATCAACATCAATTCATTATAATTCAGCAAAGTAGTCAGCGTATACATATTATCAAAGTGAAATTTTGCTTTATTGTTCCACATAACTGACATAACATTAACAACACATATTCTGAAGTAACATTTCTGAATTAGTCTTTATAAAAAACGTATGTCTATTTGTGGGTATGAATAATTATTTTGAGTGTTACTTATATGTATATACAAGATGGAAAGTCGACTGAATCGTAGAAAAGTTGACTATTTCACAGAAATACTTGCTTGAATGAAATACTCCAACAATTAGTTTACAAAAGTAACATTTCAAAATAACATAAAAAATATCTTCTCAGGTATCTCAAAGAAGCAAACTAGTTTACTTCTCCTCATAGAAGAGGAGGTATCCCACTCCACCCACATGCGATTTTGATGAAATTGGTGACACGTGTGAACTATTGTATTCGTGCCACATGAAGTATGCAGTATGCTCTGTAATGACCTCTGTAAGTAGACCCGCCACTGTGATTCAAAAGTGCATATAGATTGTAATGACAAGGAGTCATATTGCCTGCTGCATAATTGCTCATTTCTAATCCATCTAGAGGAAATTCGATAGTTACATTGAACGATTCAATGGAATTGAACTTAGGTAATATACGGGAAAACCGAAAAATTTCGAAATCATATTTCTTCATCAGTTCGGTCTTCCATTCTCCAATATTATGTTAAGTGATTTGAAATCACTGAAATAATCAATGAAATTGAAATGAATAGTTGAAAATAAGAATTATATTTAGCAAAAAAAAAATCGGAATGAAATGACAAATAGATGAAATACAGCCAAAAATTCAACGTTTGATAATACAAAAGAAATGAAAATCAAAAGATTCCAAGCCTAGTTACTTCTCGATTGTTAGTATCCACAATCGTCTTTGGGTGATGATGGGACTTATTCCTCCAAAGTATGACTATTTATAGGTCATGCGAGTGCTTTCACCTATCCCCTTCACCCTGTCATCGCTTCACCAGTCTAGCAAGAGCTGACCTTTTGGCGGGAGTTGGCCGTTTTTGGCTTCCTACGTTAGCTTGGCTGAATTCGTTGTTGGACAACATGTATGTGGCTTCTTTGAATTTCCCCCTGAACCAGTGTTTCTACCTGTAGATGATCTCAGCCTGGGACCACTTGATGATATATGTTGATGAGTCTATACCATTTCCGATTTTTGGTTTCTCCTCGCTTTGTGCGTTTCTTGTGCTCGGTTATGCAGTCTTCCAATGGCCTCTTAGTGGCCTATTTTTCGTGAATCTGCTACGGATAGTGTTTCCGGATCTGAAGCAGATTCTGATGTTGTATTCGGACCCAACTATTCTTATCCTTTTCGACAATCCTCTGATATACCTATGGAAGTGCAAGTACTGTTTGTGATAACTTCTCTTCCTTGCTAGGCTCTTGCTGTGTTTCAGACGAAGTTTGTTCCACCATCACTTTGGAGTGACCATTTAATTGAAGATCATTTCTGATGATGCCTAGTTCGTTCTGGAGACTTTCCTTCCTATTACAGAGTCCGAAAACACCGTCTATTAGAGTCCAACCACCATGAATCGACTAAAGGAGGAATTATTAAGACTCTAGTAGACCGTGCTTTCGGGTTCTATAATACAAAGGAAGGTTTCGAAAAAGAACTAGGCATCATCAAAAAAAATTTATAATGGAATGATTACTCCAAAGTGATGGTGTGATAGATATCGGCTGAAAAACAGCAAGAGCTTCGCAAGAGAAGCCGTCACAATCAGTACTTGCACTTCCCTACATCAGAGGATCGTCGAAAAGGATAAGAAGAACTGAGTCCGAATACAACATCAGTGCCTGCTTTGGATTAGGAAACACTATCTGTAGTAGCCTGACGAAAACCAGGCCACTAAATCGAGCACAAGAAACGCACAAAGTGAGAATAAACCAACTCGTGAATAGCAGAACATGTTTGGACTCATCAACGCAACATCGAATGGTCCCAAGCTGAGATCATCCACAGGGAGGAACAATGGTTTTGGAGGAAATTCAAAGAAGCCGCATATATGTCCAAGAACAAATTCAGCCAAGTTAGCTTAGCAACATATATGGAAAACCATAATCAAGCGGAAAACGGCCAACTCCCGCTAAACGGTCATCTTCCGCTAAACCGGTGAAGCGGAGAGAGAAAAGAGGGAATAGGTGAAAGCACTCGCATGACCTATGAATAGTCATCTCTCGGAGGAATGAGTACAGTCATTACCCGAAGACGACTGTGGATACTAACAATCGAAACGTCGTAAAATAACTTGACTTGAAATCTTTCAATTTTTATTTTTTTTGTATTGTCCAATTTTCAATTGTTGCTTGTATTTTATTTTGTTGTAAATTCATTTCAGGGTATTTTTCGCTTAATGTTATTGTTATTCCCAACTATTCATTTTGATTTTATTGATTCTTTCAGGGATTTCAATTCATTTTATATCATATTAGACAATGGAAGTCCGAACACATAAAATTCCCCATGAAACATTGTGAACCACCTTAATACAAATACTATTTTTTGCTGTGATCGTTTCATTTGCAGAAATAATGTAGATCAACATGTATCCTCAACACTGGAATTTTTAGTACGGACCTACGATTTCCACACAATAAAGATACTGTCTAAATTAAAGCAGTTATTTATGTTTTATTAAACATTCCAAAAATATGTGATGACCGATACTCAATGGAAATCTATAACGTATTCAAGTTCATTAGTGTAAAAACGCCTGTGAAAGCCATTGTATAATGGAACACATTTTGAGGTTTTGTTAACTATCGTTGAATACTGGACTACTCGAAATGCAAGTAAAGCAAAATATTCTCAGAGTTTATGTGATTGATGCTTCATATATTCCTAAGGTGAAGTCTCGATCAACTTTTCGAGAATCAGCAGTGATATAAAAACGGAAATTTTGTTTTCATCCATTTGATCATATCAGGTACCTTCTAAAATGGGAAATGCAATCGACTTGCAGGTGGTAATATCTTCGACCACTGTTTTGGTAGCTAGGACTGAAAAGAAATGGCTATGCAATCGACTTGCAGGTGGTAATATCTTCGACCACTCTTTTGGTAGCTAGGACTGAAAAGAAATGGCTATGTGTACAATTTGGAGCAGCTCCAACATATATAACTCAAAGAGAAAGTATGCACAAGCCATTCAAAANAGAGAAAGTATTCACAAGCCATTCAAAATAGAAAAATATTTATGGAATTTCGATGTACTTACTTCTTGAAGTACCTACATATGAAAACTGAAACGAGCAAAAATCGTTATGCCGTATGTTGAATTCATCCAATAGTTCGAATGCACTCTCAGAAAAATATAATATTTGTGGATATGAAATTTAATGGTTTCAGGACACTTAATTACACCATTTCATGACAACCAATCAAAATTGATACCTACTTTTTCTTTAGCATCATTAACCAAACTGGTATTGCTCTTGAATTTATCCAAAAGATTCTTCAGTTCTCCTTCTGTATTCTGAACTCTATCAAACATCAAACCAGCTTCCTGCCCAAGAGCGGTCGTGTTTTTGAACAAGAGCTCGGCTTCTGATTTGATTTGGTCAGCTTTTAAAGACGCATTTTTTGCCATTTCATCAGCCTTTTCTGCTTTCTGTAATGCCAGCTCGGCGTTCATCTTGGCTTTCTCCATGTCAACCTGCGCATATTTAGATTTCTGCAAAATGTCGTTTATCGTTGACTCAATAACTCCTATCTTTTCTAAGGCGGCCTCAGCTTCGTCTTTATTTTTTTGAGTTTGTGTGTCAAATTCTGAAAATATTTGCAGATGAAAAATGTTATCAACAATTTGTGTGTGAATGTGTGTGATACGCAACAAATTTCTGTTGTAGCCAGTTTATAGTGAAACACTTGTAGGCATTTGGTAAACTTTTACATATCTCACAATGGAGGGTTGTTCAAAAAGTTTGTCAATAACACTGTTACTATCTCCATTCGAGTTTGAAAGTCGTCGTAGTTTGGAAGTGCAACCCAAAGTTTCGCCAGCACGAGTGGCTGTCTTCTTCAGAGGTTTATTCATCTTGATGAATGACTATCAGTCATCGGTGAAGGATGCAGTACCAAATTACGACGGCCTTCAACCCGAAAGAAGATAGTAACACTGAATATCTCGGCCGCAAAATCCTTAACCAATTTGAGTCCCCTATGTTGGTTAGAATTTAAAAAAAAATTCAATCGAATAGCAGTAACCATATTTATCTAAATGGGTTGATTCGTGTAATTCAAAGAATGTATTGTATTGCAAAAATATTATTTGCTGTTTGAATTTACCTGACAACAATTTATAGTTGGATTCAGCTCCATCTAGTATTTCATTCCACAAATTAATAACTCCATCCGCTTGCGTATCCCAGAAAAGTAAATCATTACGCATTTCCATCAACTGTTCATGTTGAACTCTTGCGTCCTTAAGAAGACGTTTTCCGGAAACACTTTGTTCGTTAATGTTTTTTCTTAAACTTTCGCTATCTCTGAATAAATCAGATGTTATATTAGCTATCTTATAAGCATCCTCTTCTAGCATTTTTACCTTTTTCTGAAGCCCAGAAATGTCTATTTCGGGTATATTGAGATTTTCAACTTCACTTAGTAAAATCAGGGCATTGTTTTTTACCACCAAAGTTTTATCGGAGACCTCTTTGGTCCACTCTTTTGATTTGTTCAATTTTTGTTCCGTATTTTGAAGACGGTTTCTCAATTGATTGATAGCCGTATCCAGTTTCGTTTGTTGCGCCACTGCATTTTTTGCTTCATTATAAGCGATGACAGATTCATTTCTTGCTTCTTTTGCCAGAACTATGATCCGATTAGCATTAGAATCAATATTATCGGCTAATTCTCTTGCTTCCTGAGCTATCTGAGTCATCATCTTTGAATGCTGCCCAGCGATTTCAGCTTGATTTTTTGCAGCAATCAAGGTTTTCTCAGCTCTGTTATGAAAATCCTCATCTATTTCATTAATTTTCTCCTCAGTTTCGTTCAGAATATCATCGGCATGTTCAAGATTGCTGTCGGCTACAGAATTCTTAGTATCGGCGTGGAAAATATTTTCATCTACCGATGAAAAAACTAGTGATATGTCTCTGATTCTGGTCTCAATATTTCTAACTTTCTCTGTGAGGCTATCACTACCAGTAGCAGTTCTTACTTCCAAATAAAGCTGTCTGACTTCTTGCATAACTTTTCTTAGCTCATTTGGGAATTCTTCGTCTGCTATAACAGTTGGTCTGCTCTCAATCTCGTCCAGAATTCTACCAAGCCTTGCGAGATTTTCAGTGTGACTTCGAGCTTCTTTTTGGACTAAATTGTAACATTCTGGGCAATCAATGCACCCCCGTCGTCTATCGAATTTGTTCTCTTTGCACCTGTCGCATTTCTGACCTTCTACGTTCTCTAAGCACGGACATTGTCCCATAGAGTCGCACTGGAGATCTCTAGATCCAATTTGATCACAATCGCAGCTTTCACACCCAGTTATGGAAAAACCATACTTTTTGTATTCGCAATGGTCGCATCGAGGGCTGAAACAATATATATTCATTGAATCTGATGTAATCGGTAGGTATAAAGTCAATGATATATGTATGGATAATCGTATATCAGAATACTAAAAGAGCGTGGTACCTAATAATTCAAAGGCAACCACATGTCACTTCGATCGATACATTTCCATTTTTAACAAACATTTCATTGATAAGCAATATCATGAGATCAACCAGCATGATTAAACCACACTAACGTCAGGGCCTAGTTACTGTCATAATAATAGTATCAAACCAGTGAATTTTTGTGAAAGCATTTATGCAAAGTTTCAATTTATTGTCACATTCACATTCATATTCAATTCTATTTGTTGAATTGGTTTAGAACAGTGACAATGATTGGCCATGATAATCACGTTTGACTCAAGAATAGTGACACCAAGATTTTAATTTCATGACTGTCAGTTTTATCGTTGCTGGTAAGAAGAAAGAAGCGTTTCGTCTCTGTCGAAATATCCTCAGCAAATAACACCGATATGAGACCAAAATTTTAATTCGCAAATCAAATAAATTTCATTTGCCGAATGAGGGAGGATTTCAAGGAGACCATTTGTTTGGAAGGACCATTATTGAAGACACAAAGTTCGAATATATGAGTACAGTACGTAAATGACTGAACCCGAAGTCGAAAAAATTAATTTTTGATCTTTGTTTTCTGTTGATTCATGTGAGTTTACTATATTTATAGTTTGTTCAATTAAATACTTATGAATCAAATGTGGCATTCTTTCTGCTCTTCGAAAATCTGAAAAAGTGAAGTATGTTTAATGCAAGTCGCGGGCAACAGCAATACAAAATATGTACTATTCCTTGAACTATTCTAAGGATATTTTCTTTCCTTGATGATTTTTGATAGGGCGCTTTGTTTCGAAGATACAGAGCGAAAAATAATTCCAACAATAAACATTCATTACCAAAAATTACATGTAATGTTTCTTAATCTGAAAGAACTGTTGAACATTTTCATTATCGACTCCCGAACTCTTTCAAAAACACCAGGATCGTTTCTGATTGCGTTAGACCCAGCAATTATCCGATTTCTCAAATTTTCCACATTTTCCACTGGATTAGTATAAACTAATGATTTCAGTTGGCCTCACAGAAAATTCTCGAGGGAGTTTAAGTCCAGTGATCGTGCAGGCCATAAGTGAGGTTCACCTTGACCAATCCAGCGATCTCCGTATGTTACTGGTAAAAACTCTCGAGTTAATATGCTAAAATGGGCTGGTGCACCATCGTGCATAAACCACATTGCATTTCTTTCAATCAACGGTACATCGTCCAGAAACTGAATCAAATTGTCGAACTGATTAGGCATACTACTCAATAATGTCAATGACCCATATTGACACAAAATTGACATGATTTCACAACGTAAAATTAGGCATTTTTCAACGCTAGTTAAAATACTTATTCACGATACGCCGCTGACGAATTTCGGGTTTACAGAAACTTAGCCAAAGTTTGTCACATGAGATTTCGTAAACTTCATAATTTTGATACGAAAACAACTAATTCACCACTATTATTGCGAATAAACCATTTCCGATCCNAACAATATATATTCATTGAATCTGATGTAGTCGGTAGGTACGAAGTCAATGATATATGTCTGGATAATCGTATATCAGAATACTAAAAAAGCGTGGTGCCTAATAATTCAAAGGCAACCACATGTCACTTCGATCGATACATTTTCATTTTTAACAAACATTTCATTGATAAGCAATATCATGAGATCAACCAGCATGATTAAACCACCGTAACGTCAGGGCCTAGTTACTGTCATAATAATAGTATCAAACCAGTGAATTTTTGTGAAAGCATTTATGCAAAGTTTCAATATATAGTCACATTCACATTCATATTCAATTCTATTTGTTGAATTTGATTGGAACAGTGACAATGATTGGCCATGATAATCACGTTTGACTCAAGAATAGTGACACCAAGATTTTAATTTCATGACTGTCAGTTTTATCGTTGCTAGTAAGAAGAAAGAAGCGTTTCGTCTCAGTCGAAATATCCTCAGCAAATAACACCGATATGAGACCAAAATTTTAATTCGCAAATCAAATAAATTTCATTTGCCGAATAAGGGAGGATTTCAAGGAGACCATTTGTTTGGAAAGACCATTATTGAAGACACAAAGTTCGAATATATGAGTACAGTACGTAAATGACTGAACCCGAAGTCGAAAAAATTAATTTTTGATCTTTGTTTTCTGTTGATTCATGTGAGTTTACTATATTTATAGTTTTTTCAACGAAATTCTCATGAATCAAATGTGGCATTCTTTCTGCTCTTCGAAAATCTGAAAAAGTGAAGTATGTTTAATGCAAGTCGCGGGCAACAGCAATACAAAATATGTACTATTCCTTGAACTATGCTAAGGATATTTTCTTTCCTTGATGATTTTTGATAGGGCGCTTTGTTTCGAAGATACAGAGCGAAAAATAATTTCAACAATAAACATTCATTACCAAAAATTACATGTAATGTTTCTTAATCTGAAAGAACTGTTGAACATTTTCATTATCGACTCCCGAACTTTTTCAAAAACACCAGGATCGTTTCTGATTGCGTTACACCCAGCAATTATCCGATTTCTCAAATTTTCCACATTTTCCACTGGATTAGTATAAACTAATGATTTCAGTTGGCCTCACAGAAAATTCTCGAGGGAGTTTAAGTCCAGTGATCGTGCAGGCCATAAGTGAGGTTCACCTTGACCAATCCAGCGATCTCCGTATGTTACTGGTAAAATCTCTCGAGCCAATATCCTATAATGCGCTGTTGCACCATCGTGTATAAACCACATCGCATTACTTGTAACCAATGATACATCCTCCAGAAACTGAGGTAGCGTTTGTTCCAAAAGGTTGCGGTATACCTCGCCGGTAAGTCTACCTGGCAGAAATACCGGTCCGATTAAGAAGTCACCTATAATTCCTATCCAAACGTTCAACGAGAACTGTTGTTGAAAGCGATTTCCAAGCACCAAATGTGGATTTTCTTCAGCCCAAACATGGTTATTGTGGAAACTCCTCATGGCATTTCTTGAGAAACTAGCTTCATCGGTAAATAGAATGGGCGCTAGTAGTTGGGGGATTTGAACTAGTAATGTACGCAAAATCCATCTATCATGGCAAGCACATTCTCTTCTACCATTCTTACTGTCATTGGCTTTCCTTGTCCTCCATTTCGCTCCAATGCTCCTGTTTCACGAAGTCGTTGATGGTACATCCGGCTATGTTAATAATTTTAAGATGACCAAAATTGTTTTTGTCGAAATTATTTTTCGCTCCGTATCTTCGAAAAAAAGCGCCCTATCATAAATCATCAAAGGACAAACTATCCTTAGAATAGTCCAAAGAATAGTCCCTTGATTTTTTGCCGCATACTGATCGATCATTTATCAACAATTGAAGTGAACAAAATATGGGCTGGTAGACGGGTTTCGTCCGCTACTGCGGCAGTCATCATCAGTTGACTGCAAGGATGAAGGTTGAATCTCGCAGTGTCAGCAACGACTGACGTTGCTGAGAGTGTTTATTCTTATAACATTGATAAAAAGTTCATCTTTTTGCATTGCAACAGTAAAAACTTTCAGATATTTCATTTTAATTATTGTC